CTTTGCCCTTCTTGGCTGTGGTGTTTAATTTCTGAGGGGTAATGTCCTACCATTAATCCTCACTGCACTAGTATTTGTGTATGTCTGTGTGTGTGTAGGGGGGATTAGTTATGGACAATGAGAGAGAGAGAGAGACTGGTATTGGGAGCAATAGTCCCTCTAATTTTTTTTCTATCCGTGTGCAGAATAAATTTTGTTGTGTGTACCAAGGCAGATGCAAAGATATCCACCACCAAAACAAACAAACAAAAACATGCTGCTGGCTGTGGGTACAGTAGGTGCTCTGCTAATCAGGTAGGTGGTATTTGAATCTCTCCTGGACAGTCACCCAGGCACTCAGTTTACAGGGAACACTGACTGGGAGTAGCAGGAGTACAAGAAATAGTCAGTCATATTTTGAACATTAATTAATTATTGTCTATCGAGGATCCCCCAAAGAAGGTTTTCTGGGTCACCTGCTTGACAGTTGCTCACAGACGCTTAGTAAAAATGACATAGATCCTGAGTATAATATATCTAGGAAAGAAGAAGGCCAGTGGGAATCTTACTTGGGTACAGGCATCGAATTGGGCTGGTTTGCTTCAGTATGTTTTTTTCTGGACACTGAGGCTTTGTGCCCCAGAATCTAAGTTTCTACTTTTTAGCTGAAAAAGAAACCTGAAAAATTTGAACAGAATACAGAAAATGTGGTGATGTTTGCCTGAATATTCACACTGTATGAAGTAATATCTATGAGAGAGATGTGGACAAATATCATTAAGGCCTCTTGTCTCATTATGCTTTTTTTACATCCCTGCTTAGCTATCAATCATTTATCATTCCTGTCCCTCTTCCCCCTTTTTTTGGTAGGATAGGTTCTAACTGCTGTCTCCTCAACTTAATCCTAAATACTTTTATTTTCCACTACAGATTGCACAGCTGTTATTGAAGTCCATCTTATCTTCATTACAGTGACACTGACTGGGTTGTCACTGGTTTCCGATGAAAAAGTTTATTGGTGAATAATATCTATTAAATGTTTCAGTGGATGGTTATCAAGCTAGGTATTTATACTATAGAATCTGAATGCCTCACAATAATCATGCTAACTCAGCAAGATTTGAACATTCTCTTCTTTGGTTTTCTGTCTCTAAGCATGTATTTAGGCTTTTTTGTTTTTCTGTTTATCATCATCACCATCATTATGGGAATGCTTTGGTGAAGAGCTTAGTTTTATATTTACTCTTGAATATGTTAAGATTTGTCATCATTCTTATTTCTCACAATAAAGTAATTACTAGCTGAAAGCCAGCTGCAGACTAATCTTTCCTCTTCACTCCTGCAAATCTTTCCTTTGTTGGCAACAGTTTCATTCTTACTGAGGAGTACAGTTTACTCCTGGGAGGAATTTTGTGCCACTGAGTATACACAGAATGCATGTCTACTGCAGACTTTTTCTTCTCTGCCACTATAGGTTCTGCTGGAGAGACTCAGCAATTACATCTTTCATCCACCAGAAGCTGCTGTGGCACCAAAAGAGAGGGCAGCCAGTCAGCAGAAAGGGAGGAGGAAAAGGCTGTGCTCCTCATTGTGGGTCCAGGTGAGGAACGGTGGGATAGAAAGAGCAGGTCACTCGGGGCTGCTGGTGGGGTCACAGATTCGGGGTCAGAAGGACTAGTGAGAAGGAAAGACTAGAGAACCATCTCAGGAGCTAGTGAGGCTGAATGGGGATAGGGATTGCATTGTCATGCAACCCCATGACAATGCATGGTCATAGGATGCATGGTCAGGGGTTGCATGGTCATGGGATGGGGGATGTAGGGACACCTGGGGACAGGGATAGATGTGCCTGACTGAATGGGAGAAGGTAGGCATCAGCTAGGATCTGCATGGGGGGATGCTCCCCAACTTCCTAGCAATCCTCCCCAAAACCCTGTTCCATATTTCTTCCACCAATCCTCCAGGTTCACTCAGGCTGTTTCCCTTTCTCTCATCTCCCCTGACTCCCCAAGCCTTTGGACTGCTTTTCAGAGATGCAGGAAATACATTTCTGTCTTGTAGTTTTAATGAGTTATTCAGTGAATGAAGTTGTCAAAACAAAACAACACATTTCCTGCATCTTTTTTGTTTGCATAGTTACAGACATACTTGCTAACTGTGGTCAGAAGTCACGAGAGTTGTGTCCTGACAGGTATCTTGCTCTGTCCAATGATAACCATTTGGCTGTGTGCACGTTCTCCTCCTGTATGTTGCACTGTCTCTGTACAGATAGCCAAAATACCAGAGTCCAAGAGAACCTCCAAAGACCACAAAATCAGCCAGGTTTATAATAAATGAAGCACAGTAATAACTCCCTGGATCAGATATCTACAGTTATACTAAGAATGTGTGCCCATGACAATGGACTCTGTTCAGTGAGTGATGGGATTCTTCGCTACCTCCTAGGCTGGAGAAGAACAATCCCCTTAAGATACATTTTTATACACATGTATAAAAAAGTTACACATCACTCCTGACGTATGAGGTTACCATCCTCTGTCGTTACCTATTTACCTCCCATTATCTTTTACATGATGATTAAAACATTGCAGTCCATCATGCTGTCATTTTGAAAACTTATCCTATATCTGTGTGTCCCTGTTATCTGTGGGGAGTGTTTGGGTACCAAGATGTTTCTTAACAAGGTGTTGTTACCATCCCTCTGGAATGTGTTTAAGGCTACTTCAAATAAATGATGGGATGGAGAAAATAGAACACTTGTCTACATGGCTGCATGATCTGTACAAGCAGAATACACCCGTCAGCCTAGCTTTCATTCAAGAGACAAGCTTGTATAAAGGCATTGAAATAGAAGGAGAGACTGGTGAACCTAGAACTTTCAGTGCCAGTTGTGGATGGTTTCACAGGTTCCAGAAAAGATATGGCTTCATGAATGTGAAAATGGAGGGAAAGGCTTCAAGGGCAGACAAGGATGCAGCTGAAGCATTTCCTGAAATATTGAACACCATCATCGAAGAAGGAGGCTATGACCCACAGCAAGTTTTCAATGTTGACGAAACGGGCTTGTATTAGAAACACTTGGAGTACGTCTAAACTACATGGCTCCGTCGACGGAGTCATGTAGTCTAGACATACCCTTGCTGTCTAGGACTTATATTTCTGTGAATGAGAAGTCTGTTCCTGGATTTAAGGCCTCGAAGGATCGCCTAACTCTGTTGTTAGGGGGCAATGCCAGTGAAGACATGAAGATGAAGCCCTTGCTAGTGTATCGCAATGAAAATTCACGTGATATGAAAAAAACCTGTGAAATCTCAGTTTCCTGTCGTTTGGAAAGGCCTGGATTACCAGGCACATTTTCTGGGAATGGTTTGTGGATTATTTTGTTCCAGAAATGAAAAAACATTGCAGGGAGAATAATCTTACGTTCAAGATTTTCCTCATACTGGACATGCTAGTGTCCACAACCTGGATTTTGAATCCCTCGATCCTAATATCAAGGTTGTTTTTATGCCACCAAGGATAACCTCACTAATGCAGCTAATGGACCGGGGGTTATTGCAAATGTCAAAGCTTATTATTTGCAGAGGACATTTTGCAGACTCATTTGGGAAACTGATGGAGAGGGAAAACCTACAATACAGGAATTTTGGAAACAAATTCAACATCATGGATGCTCTTATGATCATCGGTGCTGCCTGGTAAGAAGTCTCCAATTGGTTAACAAACAGTGCCTGGAAGGACCCATATCCTGATGCTGTACATGACTTCTTAGGCTTTCTAGAAGCCTTCATATGTAAGGAAATCATCTGACTAGCAAAGGAGGTTGGCTTTCAGGTATCAAAGAGGACAATGTGAAAGAGTTGTTGGAATCTCATTCTTTGCCTCTCAGTAATGAGGATTTAGTGGAGTTGGATAAACAGCACCATGAAGAAGATAATGTTGATGAAGATGCAGATTCTGACCTCACAATCCCTATCCTCCAACATGTCTTCAACCTCTATGGGAAGAGGATGGATATTCCTAAAGAATGTGACCATCTCGTTGATTGTTCTTCAAGAACAGCAATGATCATGGCAGATGTCTTGTCATGTTACAGACCGATTTTTAGATGCCAAACTTAAGCACACCAAGCAAACAACACTGGACACTTTCTTTACTAAAAAAGTAAAAAAATATCCCAAACCATTAGTGGATGAGCCTCAACCAGGACTGGCATTAAAAAGCAGAAAAACACCCCCCATGCAGCAGCTGTTGAAGAGCCTCCAGAAGTCATAACCTTGTTTGTTATTGACACCAATGCAGAGGGTATTGCTGAATCTTCAGTTGTCAAGGTGGTGGATATTTGTGATGTTGAGATGGCAGTTCATGATCCTCCACCTGCTTCTCCATCTTCATTCTCCATCAGGCCAATCAAGCAAAAACATCACAGTTTCAAGGTAAGATTATTAAAAACGACAGTAAGATGTCATAAAATCATGTTTATATGTTGTTAAAATCAAAAGTGTTGCATTTCCTAAGTTCTGGAACCTAACCTCCCCTTGAGTCTTTAAGGCGACATAAAGACTGTTCCGGAACTCATCCCCCATTTACATTAATTCTTATGGAGAAAAATTCCCTGCTTTACATTGTTTTGCTATAGGTCCATATTTTTTGAACATATCTTGGACATATAGCAGGGACAGCCTGCCTGTACTCCCCGCCAGCTTTTGAACCTTTCCTATGTGGAGCAGCTGCTCCCCCCCCCCTTCCTCCAAGGAGTGCCAGGGAGGAGGGAGAGTGTTGGGGCAGGGCGGGGTAAGGGTGTTTGATTTTGTGCCAGTAGAAAGCTGGTAACTCTAGCTACAACTGCAGAGGCTGGATTATCCTGCCCTGCCCATACGTTATTCCTTCTGAACACATTCAGTATCTAGTCCATACAGAATCCCAGACTAGAGCAGGTGCTGACATGACTCACAAAGTAGTACCCACGTGACAAAACACCGCCGCCTCATCTCTTCCGTGAACTAGTCCAGGGCCCAAAGTCTGTAGTTCGCTTGGGTCCTCCCCATTCTCTAGCCTATGGAGTTGGAACAAGCATAAGACTACAAGTTCCAGCATGCAACGCGGGAGAGAGGCTGTACCACATGCGGGGAGAGGGTCTCTGTTGTGTCCAAGTAAAAGCATCGAGGCGGTGCTGAGTAGCCGGTAAGTGAGCGGAGTGGTGCCCTGCACCCACTGGAGGGAGGGTGATCCTCGGAGGGGGAGGGGCTGCGCCACGTGGAATTTAGAACGTTGTGTAACTAAGCAGGAGCCGGCCGGTTCGTAGGAGTCGGGTTGGGATTAACCCTCCCCCCATTCTAGGAGCCGCCGGTCCGGCCCGGCCACCAGCTCCCGTTTGTTAGTCCGCCTGGTCCACACTCTGTCGCCATTTGTCCCCGGACAGCCTCTACCGCAACCTGGCTTCACCGCTCATCTCCGCTTCTGTCCTCCACTCACACCTGCCCTGCCCCTTTCGGCGCGACCAACTCCCGTAACCAGCGCCCTGTGCCGCCTCCAGCCCTGCCACACTCTCTTCCCACAGCCACCAACTCGTGTTTTCCCCTTTTCCCTCCAAAGAGGCGCCATCAGTGTAGAGGCGTTCTCAGAGCCTCTGTCTTATATACTGGGACGCCCGCTGTGTTACTCGCTGGACGAGTCTCCTCTCAGGCCAGCCTGCTAAAAACCAGAAGAGAAGCGCAGGTGGTACAGAGACCCAGACTGCTGCTGCGGAGTGGGAGTTACACCACAGCCGGGCGTTGAACATTCTAATCTCTGCTGGGTTGCCTGTGTTTTCCTGCATTGGTTAGATTATGGAGCGTAGGCAGTGGCACCAGAGAAGCTTATAGTACTCTGACTGGACTCTTCCTTTTCACTGCTGTGAGGGTAACTGATGTGGCTGTGATTGTGGCAGGAAGATCTGGAGTCCCATTGCACGTTTCTTTAAAAGCTGCACCCTCCGGCTGTGTTTGAATCAAGATAAAAATCAATGACCTGATTTTCAGAAGAGTTCAGCACATCAAGGCCCATTGGCTTCATAGGCAGTTTCAGGTACTCAGGACCTCTTGAAAGTCCAGTCACAAATAAACAGCTTAAACCATATATAAGTTTAACATTTATTCCTGTTGCTTATATTATTGCAAACACTGAAATAGTGGGAATAAGGGCTAGGGTCCCAAATTTGCATCTTGTTGAGGTCCATGGTGACTGAAAGTCATTGTCTGGTGGTGGTTTAATGGCCCATATGAAAAGTTATACAGGAGTCACAGGACAATGGGTGTCTCTAATCCTGAGGGATTTCCACAAAACAAAGCTCACCAGCATCATTGGCTTTTTTGTGGTGTATCTTCAGATCAGAGATCAAGGATTGCAGGGGTCAAAGACTTAATTCTCTTTTCATGTGTAGAAGTGATATCTTTCCAGGAGCAAGTCTCAGATGCTTCAGTGAATAATCACGTGTCTCCTGCTTGTACAGCATCTGCGTGCTAGCTAGTTGGAAACTTTGAGTCGCTGAGTCAATCCAGCAACTTTCACGAGTATGAAATTCAAAAAAAAGTTAACACCAAACAAAATATGAAGCTGCTAAATACTTTAATATTATTATTGCAAGCAGGCTCATGGTTACTCCTCACATATAATGCAGGTTCTGTAGTTTCACACATCAATGATTGACTAGGAGCTCAGGTCAGTTTGGCTGTAAGTGACAAATATACTACTTAAACTGCATTACAACTAAATTAGGTGAAAGTCAAAGAAGACAGTTCATGTCTACAGAGGAAGAACAGCAGGTGATTCATTAGCAATGATCTTAATAATGAAAGGCAGTTATATTGAGAGGCATATTTCACAGCTGACAGCATCTTTAGGATACCTTTAGGGATTTCACAATAGCTCATTTACATGGTAAAGACTCACTGACATCTAATGGAAAACCTTGATATACAATTGATTCTGACAATTCTATGTCTTATATTAGTCTTATTTTAGTCTCCCCTTTTTATTACTAACAGACATTAGCATGAAAACAGTATCTTTGTTGCTTAAGAACTCAGCTGCTCCTGCTGTTTATTTCCCACCTAAAGTTGCCATCCTCTGCTTGTGACATTTTAATTAGTGAGTATAGAAATGGTTGTGATGTCACAGACTGGAGAATATGGCTTCAGGTGGAAATAAGATGTAGGAACAGATGGACCTACATCCTGTTTTCAGACAAATGTTATTAATAATAAAGAAAGAAGACACAAAAGGCACACAACTTTTTTTCTTTTGTAAGAGGGAACACTACCATGTAGTTTAGGTCTCAAATTTATCAAAAAATAGGCCAAGAAATGTTTTTATTAATTAAAACTATTTCGTAAAGTATTTTGGAAGTTGTGGAGAGCATGGGGCATTTCTGTAATATTTCCATGAAAAGTGTATGTGTCTAAGGTGACCTGTTTGATATTATTCTGATTGATTGCAATGAGTTAAATCAAACTGGGTTATTAGGGAAAAGCAAACAGGTGATGAAACAATGACAGAGGTAAGATACTTCATAGAATGCCACAGGCCCTTAAGGAAACCATAGGAGTCTTTGGAAAATGCCTGCCTGCTTGGCTGCCGTCAGGCTTGCAAGTTTTTATTTTTTCCTGGCCTGAACCTACGGTGCTAAACCATTAAAGACACCTGTGTAGAGAAAAAGAAGGAATAGGCCTTGATAAGGAGATGCTGAGAATATTTGAGGGGTTGTCTGCTAGGGCAGTGGTGCCCAACTTGTGGGTCGTGACCCCCAAGGGGGGTTGCGGTGGTTAGATCCGGCTGGCCGGGTGCGGCCGTGTGGTGCGGCACTTAGATCCAGCTGGCCGGTGGCTGGGCCTGGCAGTTGGCAGCCCCCACGGTGCAGGGGCTGCAGATCAAAAATGGTTGCGCACCACCGTGCGTGGGTATATAGGCTTGTGGCTGTTACCTAAAGCTGGCAAAGAAAGAATAAATTGTCTGTAAGAGTCATGCCATATAGGCCTTTATTGTTTAAACCCATTTCGGGTGACTGATAATACTTTGTGTTGAAAAGGATGTCCTGTTCCCTGCTAGTTATAAAGACCCCAATATACAAAGGGATTTAGGCATCTAAGCCCCAGATTTATGTGTTTAAAACCTGGTTTAGGCCCAACAGCAATCCACAAAATTCCATTCAAATGCTGTGGGTGTTGGCACCTAAGTTTTCAGGATAAAAGTACCATAAGAACTAGTGAGGTAAGCAAGTAGTCGATTAGTCAACTACCCGATAAGCATAAGCTTATTGGGTAGTTGACTGGAGTATCAGCTTCTTGCTTTCCCCCACTTGCTGCCTTTATGAGCAGCAGCCTCTGTTCATGGTGGACTGAGCAGTCCCAGCTTGCGCTGGTCTGGGGTGCTGTGCCTTTGCATTTAAAATGCAGAGCTGCAGCACGGATGGCTCCTGGAGGTAGCACGAGCCAGGACTGCTCAGTCGTGGCTCAAGCCAACTCCTGGAATTAATCCCGCTGCAGGTCTGTATAGTGGTCTTTATTGGCTAGTCTTGTAGTTGATACAATTTGTATTGACTGCACAATTAGTTAGATAACCGCAATGGAACATCCTTAGTAGGCACTTAAGTTGCTATCTTTGAGCATAAACATTTGAGCATTTCTGCCTCTAGGTAGTCTGATGCTTAACTCCTGCCTAAAGTTGCCATTCTCTGTCTATGACATTCTAATTAGTGGATATGGAAATAGTTGTGAGGTCACAAACTGCAGAAATGGTCCATAAATAGGCATTCATTCGCTTATCTTCCATCAAACTCCTGGGTGGGGCTTGATCTAGGAGGCACAGAATCAGAGGACTGGAAGTAACCTTGAGAGGTCAAGTCCAGTCCCCTGCACTCATGGCAGGAACGAGAACTATCTAGACACATGATTGTCTAATCTGCTCAGAACAGAGTGGAAGAATTATTTCTTGTATCTTGCTTACAGCACTCCTGCTATTGCATCCCAAAATAATGTTGCCCTTTTTTTTTAACAACAGTGTTATGCTGTTGACTCATTTAGCTTGTGGTCCTGAGTTTGATCTACTCCCCCTTTCCCTATCCCCTTCTATGGCTGTTTTGTGTGGACCAAGTAGAGACTAACTCATTCATCAATAAATCATTTAGGTGCCTAAGCCACCTGCCCTCCAGGTTCATGGATCACATAGATAGGTGCCTAACTGCGTGAAAAGGAGAGAGCTTCGTACACACTCCTGTTATCGCATCTCACATTGGGTAGTTTAGATTGTTCCTTGCCTAGCATGCTGGCTTTTATGAATTTTATTCTAAGGCACTGTACTCTTTCTGTTCATTATTTAGGAAGGTTACTTGCCTAACTCAGACTTTGTGGATTGCAATGTTCTGTGACTTTTTTTTCTAGGCGCATGAACGTTGGGCACTCTGATGTACAATATTGCGACCCGTAGGTTGATTTGTGGATCCAGGCCAAAGTTTCCAAGTTCCTGATTCCTGCAGGAACCAAGACAAATTGACTCCTCTGACGGAGCCCCTCTGAAATAAGAATGCTGAAGCCTGGGATCCGGTCTAAGGTTAGGTTCGACCATCGCGGATTCACGTATATACATAATGTAATGAAAAAAGTCCGCGAAGTCGTGAATCCGCGATGGTCGAACCGCGAAGTAGCGAGGGCTCACTGTAACCTCCACATTCTTTTCTGCAGTACTACCTACCACCTAACCAGTTATGTCCCATTTTATAGCAGTGTGTTTGATTTTTCCTTCTTAATTGCAGAACTTTTCACTTGTCTTTATTGAATTTCTTCTTGCTGATTTCAGACCAATTCTCTAATTTATGAACATCATTTTGAATTCTCATCCTGTCCTCCAAAGTGCTTGCAACTCCTCTGAGCTTGGAGTTGTTTGCAAATTTTATGTGAAAGGGAGATGTGGTTTCAATTCTGTTTATAGAAAAAAGGTATCTCACATCCCATAATACAGCACCAAACCAGCTACCTTGCTCTTACATTACTAGTTCAGAGATTCGGTATAAGGGACTAGTCAACTACCCGATAAGCATAAGCTTATTGGGTAGTTGACTGGAGTATCAGCTTCTTGCTTTCCCCCACTTGCTGCCTTTATGAGCAGCAGCCTCTGTTCATGGTGGACTGAGCAGTCCCAGCTTGCGCTGGTCTGGGGTGCTGTGCCTTTGCATTTAAAATGCAGAGCTGCAGCACGGATGGCTCCTGGAGGTAGCACGAGCCAGGACTGCTCAGTCGTGGCTCAAGCCAACTCCTGGAATTAATCCCGCTGCAGGTCTGTATAGTGGTCTTTATTGGCTAGTCTTGTAGTTGATACAATTTGTATTGACTGCACAATTAGTTAGATAACCGCAATGGAACATCCTTAGTAGGCACTTAAGTTGCTATCTTTGAGCATAAACATTTGAGCATTTCTGCCTCTAGGTAGTCTGATGCTTAACTCCTGCCTAAAGTTGCCATTCTCTGTCTATGACATTCTAATTAGTGGATATGGAAATAGTTGTGAGGTCACAAACTGCAGAAATGGTCCATAAATAGGCATTCATTCGCTTATCTTCCATCAAACTCCTGGGTGGGGCTTGATCTAGGAGGCACAGAATCAGAGGACTGGAAGTAACCTTGAGAGGTCAAGTCCAGTCCCCTGCACTCATGGCAGGAACGAGAACTATCTAGACACATGATTGTCTAATCTGCTCAGAACAGAGTGGAAGAATTATTTCTTGTATCTTGCTTACAGCACTCCTGCTATTGCATCCCAAAATAATGTTGCCCTTTTTTTTTAACAACAGTGTTATGCTGTTGACTCATTTAGCTTGTGGTCCTGAGTTTGATCTACTCCCCCTTTCCCTATCCCCTTCTATGGCTGTTTTGTGTGGACCAAGTAGAGACTAACTCATTCATCAATAAATCATTTAGGTGCCTAAGCCACCTGCCCTCCAGGTTCATGGATCACATAGATAGGTGCCTAACTGCGTGAAAAGGAGAGAGCTTCGTACACACTCCTGTTATCGCATCTCACATTGGGTAGTTTAGATTGTTCCTTGCCTAGCATGCTGGCTTTTATGAATTTTATTCTAAGGCACTGTACTCTTTCTGTTCATTATTTAGGAAGGTTACTTGCCTAACTCAGGCTTTGTGGATTGCAATGTTCTGTGACTTTTTTTTCTAGGCGCATGAACGTTGGGCACTCTGATGTACAATATTGCGACCCGTAGGTTGATTTGTGGATCCAGGCCAAAGTTTCCAAGTTCCTGATTCCTGCAGGAACCAAGACAAATTGACTCCTCTGACGGAGCCCCTCTGAAATAAGAATGCGTCCTAAGACTCTGCCACTTTTAGGCTACGTCTATACTGCACCCTTCTTCCGCAAAAGCTTATGCAAATAAGGGCAGATTAGCATATTGTCGTACTTCATTTGCGTAATTAATTAGGGGCCGTTCTTGCGCAAGAGGCTTTTGCGCAAAAAGAAACTGTGTAGATGGCTCCTTTGTGCACAAAATCCTCCTCTTGTGCAAGAGCCGTTCTTCCTGAAAAAATGAGGAAGAACGGCTCTTGCGCAAGAGGGGGTTTTTGCACAAAAAGGAGCCAGCTACACAGTTTCTTTTTGTGCAAAAGCCTCTTGCGCAAGAACAGCCCCTAATTAATTACGCAAATGAAGTACGACAATATGCTAATCTGCCCTTATTTGCATAAGCTTTTGCGGAAGAAGGGTGCAGTATAGACGTAGCCTAAAAGTGGCAGAGTCTTAGGACTCCTCTTTTAGTGAAGGAGAGCCCCAAGGACTGTCATTAGGTAGAGTGCATTCACAAGCAATTGTCGCTGAAGGTCAGGATCTATGATTTGTGACAGAAATAAAAAAGAAATGTGGGTTTTTTTCATTTAATTGCTGTGTATTTAAACCAGCAGCCTTAGGCTTTCTTAACTGGAATGAAATTGACTGGGAAAAGAAAATGAAACTGATCCTCCTAATTCCATTGCCAAAGATGAATGAAGCAGAAAAGAAAAAACTACATCAATGGAATGAGGTGGGGAAAAAATGAAGTGGATTTGTAGGCACTTTTCAGGTTTGAATAATCAAAAGTGTTATTTAGTAAAGCAGGGAAAAGGGTAAAATCAGGTAAAACCTACTACAGTTGTCAGAGGTAAGAGAGAATGTTAAAGAGCTTCTGACACATGAAATCCTTTGAGGAGGGGGGGAAAATCTAGTTAGAGCCTAATATTAAAACATAACTGCCCAACCCTAAAATGTCTCTATTAATAATAATAGATCTTAGATGTATTTAAACTACTTTCCAAACATAAGTAGTTAGGGCAGTTCTTTAAAGTAGGGAAACAGTATATTATTATTTCCCCCCGTTTCATAGGGAAACTGAGTGTGAGAAGTTAAGAGATTTGCCCAAGCTCATACATTGCACTAAAGGCAAAGCCAGGACTCGAATTTTGATCTCATGATGCCCAATCTCCTAACTGTTGGACCATACTGCCTCAGTTATGCAAGACCATAAATGTTTGTTTGTTTTTTGCCTCCCCACCCATCCTGATCAGAAGGCAGCTACTTTTCTGGTTTATTGCTTTGACTAGGTCACCCCCTTCTCTGCCTCCTTCTACTGGATCCCCTTTTACACTGTATCAGACTGTTTGTTTTTACTTTTAAGGCACTTGATGACTATTCTTCATGGCATATCTCTTCCCTAGCATCTATTGAGACATGCCCCCCTCCACATCTACTCCATAAACAATGATAGCCTTGCCTGTCTATTTGGAGCATTTTCCAACAGGTAACGTTATGCTTCCTACCATGGGAGAAGCTCCCTGTAAAAATCTGTAACCATACACCTTTAAATCACCTCTTAAAACCTACTACAGCCTACAAAATATGTGATCATGGTTAGGCAGCTGGAGTGCTGTGACTGCTGCTTATTACACTAATCATAACTGACTCACTGTTAGCTTGTGGTCCTGTTGTTTGTTTTATGCTCCTGTTGTCTTTTGTTTTAGAAAGACTGTAAACCCTTTAGGGCTAGGGATGAGCTTTTCGTTATATGTATGTACAGTGTCTAGCACAGTGGAGCCCTGATCTTTGATTTGTACCCTCTAGGCACTAGGAGACTATTGCAGTATAATAACAAGCTTGGAATGTGGCTCCCTGTGTACCTGCCTACTGATTACTACGAAACGAAGATGCAGAGGAGCATTATTGTTAAGTTAGTGGTAGAGCCTCGACTGAAACTTGAAGACTTATTTCCTAGGGTTTTAAGCACTAGACCACACTCTCCTCTCACAGCAAGATTTAGGAACCATGAGGCCTGCATTAATAGAGTTGCCTGCTCTAACAAGTCTTCCTGTGCTCACTTGATAGCTGATCAACATGAAAAATGAGTTTTGGAAGGAAGCACTTACATGACTCTGAACTGTTGGCAAAGGCAGCCCTGGATGGTTCCTCCTGTACTCTCTTCTTCCACTCAATTGCTGATAATTCCTGTTTTGTATCTCTGCAGCGATCGCCGGCATGGCCAGAAGGGCCTTGAAACTTGTCTCTCTGGCAGCAGCCACTTCTGGCTTCTACCTCTACAGCAGCAAGTATCTGGATCCCAATGATTTTGGAGTTGTTCGGGTGGGCAGAGCCATTGCCACAGTAAGTTTCACTCTGGCAGGTTATGTGAGGGTAGGCATGAGAGATTTGCTGACAGGGTTAGAAGGATCCTCAGAGAGACTGGAATTCACAGGAGTTCTTTTCCTAGCATGGTGTTTTCTGTATTTATATGTTTCAAGTGTATGGTTGGCTCTGATCTCCAGGGACTTGGGTTTTTCTCTGTTCTGTTATTTGTGTGGGGGAAAATAAGTTAAAAACATGGACAGTGTAGAGGGTAATTTACAGTGAAGCAGAGGCAGGCAGAGAAAAAGAGAAAAACATGGTGACAATGAGTAAACATGTGCCTTATTGGGGAATCTATTGGGTAGATGTGGGGCTTAGATCCACTTACTGTATCTCTTTACCCCACATCCCCTTCTCTCAACTCTCATTCAAAACTTAGTCAGGTCTATCATCCCACTGCTTTTCCCAGTTGTTTTGCTTTGAAGCTGCTTACCTCATCCTTGATGGTGGCTCCTCTTTCTCCTACAGATCATTGAGAAGACCACATTGTTGAATGAATACTGCCTATAAATGTCTTGGAGTTCTCAGTGCTAGGAATGTGGGCGGGGGATGGTGTCTTCAGGTGTGTGTGTGGGAGTGGGATTAGTATCAGGGAAAAAGTGAAGCAGGAGTGGGAGAGGTAAGGCAGAAGATGCGTGTGGGGTATGTACACACTTTCTAAAATAAATCTCAAAGGGCCCCACTAGTCCTGGATGGATGCCACCTTCATGTCACCACAGATGTTGAACACAGCATCCAAAAACATGAACATGGCAGCTGCCAGCCACACAGGGTGTGACTCTCTCCAGGAAAGCCCTCTCTAGAGAATACATTAGCAGCCAGAAACAAGGTAGAGCAGAATTTGTGTAGGATATTAGCCTTCCCTGCACCTCTGTTGTGCCATACATTTGTCACTTCAGGCCAGGAGCTCCATCACTTACAGGCCCCGAGTACTAAGCAGCTGACAGCCTGCATCTCTTGCACTTCTAAAATGCTTCATTAGTGAGAACTACAGGGAGTGCCTCCTGAGAGCAGGCACTGCAAGAAGCAGGTTCGGTAGCTGATCTCAGAATCCATTACCCTGTACACAGACAGGCTGGAGCAGAAAATGATGTGAGGAGTGTCCGGGAAGGGAGAGGGTGTTTTGTTTTGGAAGTGTATGGTAGAAATGTTGACTGCCATCACCTTACTAAAAATAATGCAAAGTACAGTATCTGGCACTTTGTCATTTCAGTATCCAGACTAAGGTGTCAGTAGAGGAGATTTTAGATTAAATAGTAATAAGCCACCAGGTCCAGATGGTATTCACCCAGGAATTCTGAAGGAACTCAGATATGAAATTGCAGAACTACTAAAGGTGGTATGTAACCAATGTTCTCTTTAATCTTTTCCATCCATGTGTGGATTTTTTCCATTCATTTGCGGAATAAATGTTATATGCACTGAAGCATAACAACCAATAGAAACAAATACCTAGCTGTGGGCACTCTGCTAATCAGCTGGACGGCATTTGAATCTCTCCTGAACAGCCTCACAAGCACTGAGCTTACAGAGAACACTCTATGCAACCTTTCATTTAGAACAGCTTCTGTACCAAATGACTACAGGGTAGCTAATGTGACAACAATTTTTAAAATGTTTCTAGAAGTGATCTGGCAATTACAGACTAATAAGCCTGACTTCAGTACTAGGCAAATTGGTTGAAATTTGTTCTTTATTATGGTTAGCAGACATGCAGCTAGGCATGATCTGTTGGGGAAGAGTCAATATGGCTTTTATAAAGGAAACTCTTGACTTACTGCTCTATTAGAATTCTTTGGGGAGGGTCAGCGAACATGTGGAAAAGGGTGATTCAGTGGATAGAGTGTACTTGGGCTTCAGAAAGCCTTTGACAAGGTCCATCACCAAAAGCTCTTAAGCAAGGTAAGCAATGCTGGGATCAGATGGAAGATCCTCTGATGGATCAGTAATTGGTTAAAAACAAGAAAAGATGGATAAGAATAAATGGTCAATTTTCATAATGTAGAGAGTAATTAGTGGTTCCCCCCAGAGTTCTGTACTGGAATGAGTGCTTTTCAATTTAACCTAGAAAAATGGGTAAAAAGTGAGTTGACAAAATTTGCAGATGATATACAATTATTCAAGATAGTTAAATCCAAAGCAGAGTGCAAAGTGATACAAAGGGAGCTCATAAAAATGGGTGACTGGGCAGCAAAATGGCAGATGAAATTTAATGTTGAGAAATGCAAAGTAATGCTCATTGGAAAACATAATCCCAACTACACATACAAAATGATGAGGTCTAAATCAGCTGTTCCCACTCAAGAGAGATCTTAGAGCCATTGTGCATAGCTCTCTAAAAACATCCTCTTATTATGCAGTGGCAGGCATAAAAACTAACGATATTAGGAACCATTAGTAAAAAGATAGACAATAAGATAGAAAATATCATAATGCTATTATATAAATATATAGGACAGCCACACCTTGAACACTGCATGCCGTTATGGTCATCTCATCTCAAAAATGTTATATTAGAAATGGAAAAGGTACAGAGCAGGGCAATAAACACGATGAAGAATATGGAAGAGCTGTGTGAGGAGAGAATAAAAAGACTGGGATTTTTCTGTCTGGAAAAGAGACAGCTAAGGGGATATGATAGCAGTCTATAAAATCATGATGGGTGTAGAGAAAATGAATAATGAAATGTTTACTTCTTCACATAACACAAGAACGAGGGGTCATCCAATGAAATTTATAGGCAGTAGATTTGAAACAAACATAGAACTTATTGCCAGGGGATGTTGTGAAGGCCAAAACTATAACTGGGTTCACACAAGAATTATAAATTAATAGAAGACAGGTCTATCAGTGGCTATTAGCTAAGATGATCAGGGATGCAATCCCATGCACTGGGTGCTCCTAGCCTCTGACCGCCGGAAGCGGATCACTCAATAATTGTCTGTTTTGTCACTCACTCCAAAACACCTGGCATGAAGTACTGTGGGAGGACTAGGCTAGATGGACCCTTGGCCTGTCCCAGTAAGTCTGTTCTTATCTTTACTGCACAAACACTGCTGACCATCCATACACCTCAGGGGAAACTGAGGTACCAAGTGGGAAAGTGATTTTCCCCTGGCCACAGCAGAGCTCTTAGAACTCAGCAATCCATTGCTCCCAGTTTCCCAGGCTTAGTTCACTACTAGGCCATACTGCCGCCACAAATTACAGTGTTCTACAGGAGCAGCTACAACTATAATATCTCAAAGAAAAATCTGTTGGTGGTTGCTAGCCCCTGTAAGTACTCTTTTAACAAATATGGGGAATACTTTAAATGGTTTATTTTTTTAACAGACACAAGTCCCTGTATGGTCAGGTTGCTTCAGTGTGAGCTTCTGCCATATTGTTGCACTAATCTCTGCTTTCCCAGTCTCAGCTTCATTTTCATGTGTTTCTCCCCAATCAAGAGGGATGGAGACGTCTCTAAAATTAGAGCTTAGACTCTATTGTAAACATATGCCTGTGGCTGCTGGGGACCTAGATGAGAGCTGCCCCTCAATTCAGCCCTGAGCAAACCCCTACTTAGCAGGTCAGGTGGCTCCCATAATTGATTGGGGAGGGGAAGGGGGCCTCCAGTCACGACAGATGAACTTCAAAAAGTTCAAAAGTTATATTCTGAGAAGCACCCAAAAGTCTAGATGCTTAACTCAACTTTTTGGGGCAAAGCTAGACTGGAGCATATATAAACATGGGGAAAAAAAAGGACTTGGGGAGTGAATTCTCAAACCTGTGGCCAGTTTGAATTTTGCTAGAAGTTTTTAATTTATCTACATGTATTCCTCAGTCCTTATTAAACCTCCTTAGGTGGCCTGGGGGAAAACTGTTGCCCAAGTCCAGGTTTGGGGAAGCAGATTAAGGGCCCAGCAGAGAGAAAACACTGAGGGCGCAGCTACACTACGCAGAAGATCAACTCAGCTACGGTTGATCTTCCGGGGTTCAATTTAATGGGTCTAATATAGACCCACTAAATTGAACTCAGAGGGTGTCCTGCTCCTCAGAGGGCACTCCTGCTCCTCACGAGGAGTAAGGGAAGCCAATGGGAGTGTTTGCTCCCGTTACCCTCCCATTGTGTGGACGGTACAGAAATGCGATTTTAACATATGTCAACTCCAGCTATGTAATTAATGTGACTGGAGTTGCGTATCTTAATTTGACCTTCTGCTGTATTGTAGACCAGGTCCAAGAGGTAGGGATGTTGCTTGGGGACCTCATTCTAGGAGATGGGGAGATCAGCTGATAACTTGAGGATTGTTGGAAGTCAGCAGCTGGATGACTCAAAGTGGAAGCCACACTCTCTGAGACTTTTAAAACTAGACTTGACAAAAAACTGGAAAATGCACTATGGACATCAATCTTGCATTGCCAGCAAGAGGGACTGGATGATCTCCCAAGTCGTCTTATATCTATGAAGAGCAATTTCTCAGGAGCATGGAGGAGGAAGAACTAATCCTTGATGAAAATGAGTTGCTCCTTAGGACCTGGACAGCAACAAGTCACAGAAAACCTTTACATTTCAGATAGTATTAGAAATCTGATATTTCTGCTTTTTTTTGCCCGCTGCATCTTTCAAGGTGTCACACTGACCCCAGTTTTCAGAGAGCATTAAGCTAGTATCATATGCCATAGCTGAAGTGTATCTCAGACACTTGTGGGGATTTAACAATGTCAGAGTTGCCTATCAGAATCATCATAATACTAATTTGTTGTAAATATTGTGATGTAATTAGCAACTGCTTAATTAATTTCCTCTTCCTCTGTAAAGCAGAGCTGGTTCTTTTCAAGTTGGAAGTGACAGTTACCATCATGGACAAGAGATAACATAAGAACCAACCCAAAACTGATCTGAAAGTCCCTCCATTCCAAAGCTATTTTCTGATGTTGGAAAATGCCTGGTGAAATTTTTCTCCAAATACTTCTTCACCTACCTCTACACCTCTTGGCTTTCATAGGGACAGGAAGGGCTGAACAATCACAAGAAAAGCCTTGGACAAAGTGGTGAGATTCCTGATGAACAACACAATTGTTCTACATCAACAGGTGCATGGATAGGAAGAGTACTTTTTGGCCCTCTGCCAAGAAGCCCTTTTCCTCTGGGATTTTTGCATCAGCCTTTTACCTCCCTAGTATCAGAAATTACCTGGGAGATTACCTCAGCTGGAATTTCTCCAGTCACTGCCTGGAAGTGACCTGCATGCTCTTCCAGAGGTGAGCTACTCCCCAACTGCATCTGTTTGCCACCAGGCAGAACAGGAAGCGCCATAGGGTATGGCTACATTGTGGGGGGTTTCTTCCGAAAGAGGTATGCAAATAGCGCTCGCATTTGCATACCTTTGTCCATTTTTTTTTCTGGAAGAGGCTTTTCCGATATTTGGCTCTGTCTACACGGGGCCAAATGTCGGAAAAAATCCCCTGTTTCGAAAGCCCCTGTAAACTTTGTTTTATGAGGAATAAGGGGGCTTTTGAAAGAGGGGGGTTTACCGACATTTGGCCCCATGTAGATGGGGCCAAATGGCAGAAAAGCCTGTTCTGGAAAAAAAAAACGGAAGAAGGTATGCAAATATGAGCGCTATTTGCGCACCTCTTACGAACCCTCCCCCCCACAGTGTAGCCATACCTGTAGCTTTTGTTCCTACCAGGTAAAAGCTCCCTCTCTGATGCCTTTCTCCTGCCAGGAGCAGGGCCTGATGTACATGTTTCTGCTGAGTCCTAGTAAAGATCAGAAGGGACAGAGCACACATCATTATGATTTGCCCCAATATGCCTGTGCCAGTATTGATTTGGTACGCTCGTGAACACCGTGGTGATTCCTCCATGGGCCCCCCTTTCCTCAGTAGCCCATACTTGCTGCCACAAGATCCAAGCCAGTTAGTATACTGCAACCTGGAGTCGCTACGCCTCACAAAGTGGTAGCTCCATGGTTGAAACCAGAGGAATGTACCTGTTTGGAGGCGGTCTAACAAGTTCTCCTGGGGAACTGGAAACCTTCCATGAGACTGCCTTACCAGGCCAAGTGGATGAAGTTCCACTGGGCATGAGAATGGGGCATCTCTCCCTCTCACTTTTCTATGCAGTCTGTATTAGACCATGTGCTGCACCTCAGGAAGCCAGGGTTGACACATTCTTCTATCTGAGTGCACCTTGCAGCTATCTCTGCTTTCTACCAACTGATCCGGGCCAGAGAGTCTTCTCTCATAATATAATGGTTAGGTTCCTAAGGGGCCAAGTCTTTTTGCAAGTCCATCAGCTTTGTCACTGCAGCTGATAGGATGAAGGGCTTTCTGATGTCATCACGGAGAATTTCCAATGGGATCACCTTTGCATACAGACCTGCTATGAGTTGGCAAAGACTCCCCCACAGCTGATCATCTGGGTCCATTTTACCAGAGCTCAGGCATCACCTGTGGCCTTTGTGGCTCCACATACCATCCAGGACATCAGTAGAGCCATGATGTGGGCCTCAGTCCACACATTCACATTTCACTGCGCCATCGCTCAGGCTAGAGTCGACACTGGGTTTGGCAGAGCTGTGCTACAGTCTGCACAGCTGTGAACTCTTACCTGCCTCCATGGGTACTGCATGGAGTCATGTATTGCGGAATGGATAAGAGCAATCACTTGAAGAAGAAAAGACGGTTACCACCTTTCCATAAGTGGTGTTCTTCAAGATGTGTTTCTCATGTCCGTTCCGTGATATGGCCTCCTTTCTCACTGTTTGGAGTTTCCAGCAAGAAGGAACTGAGGGTAGGGGGAGCATGTAGCACTCCTTATACCACGCCATGGAGGTGCCACTCCAGAGGTCGCTAGAGATGCTCCCCTATGGATACTGCTGAGATAAAAACTTCCAGCACTCGTGCATGTGGTGAACAAACACACAGAATGGAATGGACATGAACAACACATCTCAAACATCAGTTACTGTCTTGTCTGGTTCTCTCTATGCATTGGTCACCCCTTTTTGCTGCTCTGTGTACAGACCTTTTGTCAATTTTTTTTCCTCCCTGATGAGGTCTGGAGGACGGGCTAGCTGCCCAGGTTATCCCAGCACTCACTGATATAAATACAGTTGGGCAGTGTGGTAGGTGTGAGTACAATGGCAGAAAAGCGCCTACATGGACACAAACAGAACTTTGCTATTTGTAACCAGTGAAGGTGACTGTAATGATAATTAGTTACCAAATCACAGTGACAGTTATGGCATGGATGGGTGTTAGTCTAACCTCTCCATCCTATCCCATCAGTGACAGCTTAGACATCACAGTTTGACACCATTGAAGCTGTTCTGATGTTGCCAACCCTGGACTGTGATTTGGCTGCAGAGATTGGGTGGGAGGGAAAGGAAAGGCTCCAGTTTACATGTAAGCATCAGGCTGTTTCTAGTTAGTTTCATATCCTGCTCAACATGTACACGGCGGCTTGTGGATACACACAGGATTGAACATCAAGGGTTGTTTCAGTTCTGTTCCTGGCTCTGACATTGACTCACTGTGTGTCACTTACTAAGTCACTTCCCTGCTCCATGCTTTGATTTTCCCCATGTGGGCAATGGATGTTCTCCTGACCTATGTCCCTGGGGGTTGGGATTTTCAGTTTGTGAATGCCAGTGAAGTGCTTTGATTGCCTGGAATGGAAGGTGCTTTAGAAGTGCAAAGTATGACTTCTTGCCAGTAGCTCAATGTTACTGAGCTTCCTGTCCCGCAGGGAAGTTTTCCTGAGTGTAAACCACTGATTTTCATTGACATGTTTTTATTTGTATTTCTTTTTGTCCTCGTGGCCTTTTTATTTGAAAGGAAACTTAACTTTGGGGCTTAAAGCTGAATAGAAAGAATCCCTTTAATAAAGGCTTTGTTGGCTTGATCCAAGATCATTGCAGAATCTTCATACTGTTTCTGGTTTGTTTTTCAGACAGCTGTTATCACTTATGACTACCTCACTGCTCTCCGGAGTGTCCCGTATGGATCACAGGAGTATGCCTACGTCAAATCACAGGTAGGGTGTTCCCCAGAGGCTTGGCAAGCAAGGAGAGATCTGCCAAAGGCAGTGCCATCCATTGAGCTGCTGGCTTAGTCAGTCAGTCATTGGGATGAGAGCAGGTTTGATCTCCACTTCCTGCTCCTGTCTGCTTAGACTGAAGTGGAGCACTCAGCAGCTGAGAGTGGGAAGACAGGTGGCCTTGTGTTGCTGAGCAACAGCAAGAAAGTCGTATCTCTGTCCTGCTTGGCCAGTTAGTGGGGGTTGTACCTCAAGGTTTGAGTGAATCGAAATGGGGCAGATCTGGTGGATGAGTGGTGAATCCTCTGGGATCAGTCAGGGCTGCAGAGCATCCCTGAAGAAATTGAGAAGTAATTGGGCAATCTAAGGGACTCTTCTCTGCCAGGCTTTCTGTCACTGTGTTCTGATGTAACTAATTAATATGAATAAAAATAGCAACTGTAGTGACAGGAATGAAGATACAAATTATAATGTCTCTGCCAAGGCCGCTCAAACTCACACTGCAAAGCTCTTTCTTTTTCAGTTCTGAGGCCTCCCTACCTGCACTGCCAATGCCCTTTGTTCCTGACCCACAGATTCTTGTGTTTCAGTCCTATTCCTGCCCTGCAGCTCCTCTGCTGTACCTGTCCTTGGAGCCTCTTCATAGCAGTGAATGTGGATTTGATCTGTGTCAAATTAGGCAGTGTATTTAGCAATAAGACTATCAAGTGTGTTTAATTTTTCACCTAACACACGTTGGGGTTAGACCTCCGTGCCCTGAAGTGAAGAGCTAGTGGATTCGGCCACCCAGCCCCTTACTAAAACCACAGTGCACCACCTCTTAGGATTTAGTCACATATGGTTGGCCTTAATGAATGCAAAGTGCATAGGAATGTCTTGCAGAGCAGCCTGCCCGGGGTTGCTCTCGCTTTCCCTTTTGACTACAGAAATAGCTTTGCTTTGTTGTAGCTCTTTTAATCATAGGTGGGTGTTAACTTGAAGAAACTGGTGGTAGGTGCCAGATTGACAGACTTGGAGTTCAGAGCTGTCTCTCCTTCTGCCCATGTCTCTACCCTTGGTGTAACTATCCAATAGCCCTGAGTTTTTCACTCTTGGGCTGTGTCCAGACTCAGGGGTTTTTTCGAAAAAAGTAGCCTTTTTTCGAAAAAACTTCCCCTGCGTCCAGACTCAAGCCGCGTTCTTTCTAAATTAATTCGAAAGAACGCGGCTTTTCTTTCGATGGCGGTAAACCTCATTTCACGAGGAAGAACGCCTTCTTTCGAAAGTTCCTCTTTCGAAAGAAGGCGTTCTTCAATGTAAATAGGGCTTCTTCAAAAGAGAGCATCCAGACTCACTGGATGCTTTCTTTCGAAAAAGCAAGCCGCTTTTTCGAAATTTCTCCGTGCAGTCTAGACGCTCTCTTTCGAAAGATGCTCTTTCGAAAGATGCTTTCGAAAGAGCCTCTTTCGAAAGAAGCCTGCAGTCTAGATATAGCCTTGGATGCTGGGTCCAATCCAGCACTGGTGGGTATTGAGTGAAAATCTCCACCTCCTGGCAGCTGTCCATTAGTCTGTGTGAATAGAGTTGGTGGGTTCTCAAGCCAATTCCTAGTGAACAGGAGTGCCCAGCATACAAACTGCCATCATGATCAACTAACCCCTACATTGTCAATTTCAGTAGAGTGCAAAGGACTGAGCGGGAGACTGAACTCTCCTAGAGTTGATCAGGCCTGTGGCAGTGGGTTTGGAGGAAGCTTACTGTACTACTGCCTAAGTTGTAGCTGCTGGCTCAGAAGCCTTCAGATTCTAAGCTTGTCAATCTGGCCCCTTCACCAGCACTAGATGTTTATTGGAAAGACTCTAACTTTGAAACCTGGGTCTGCAGAAGAGCTAGGTTGTAACTTCTCTGAGACAAGCTGAGGTAGTTGAGTTGCTGATGCTGCCGACTGCTTGTAGTTTGACAGCTGTTCCCAGCAGCCCCTGCAAAGCTCTGACCTTTTGTCTTGTGTCTCTACGGCCTCATTAACCTCTGTCATACTGCTTCTGATGGTCTGCCAGTTCGTGCTCTGAGCAGCAGAAAAGGGTCCTGTTCATTGGAGCTGTTCTGTGTTCTCCCCAGTCTTGGCAGCCAAGACTAGCTGAGTCAGCACTTGTTCCTTGGCAGGGTGAGTCAGTGCAATGCAAGAGGGCTTTGTGCCATGGCCTGCATTTCCTTCAAGAAGCCTTAGGCTGCTGAAAGAGGAAAGCCAGGGGTATGGAGGCTGTGAAGCAAATTCAGGCCTATCATGAGCAAGTGAAACTCCTTTAGTGAGTGGGATATCCTGGCTTGCCTTGCTCTTGGGGGAGTACTACAGAGAGGAGCATTTTAGCCTGACAGTAACTAGGAAGGTGGCATTCTAGCAACTCTCTTGGTATGGCTGAGCTAGCAAAGTGTCAGATATATGGCAGGCAATGATGCAGCAGTGGGATGGGAAACAGGATACAGAGCCCTTTGTTTTTTGGGGCACTGGTCCCAGTCCAGCCCCAGGTGAGTAGTAACTGAAAGTTTTTACCACCTGATAGCTGTTCAGTGGTCTCTGTGGACTGGATTTGTTGTCTCCGTTTAATGCCTTATGGATGAGTCATCAGAAAATCTACCATCAATAGGCTGACACTAATTGGCTCCTTCTTATTGGCCATCAGCGATGGCCAAGAGAGACTGCATTCTCCTCTCAGCCAGAGGGTGAGACCCTAAAGGTCAGGGGCATGATGCACTGACAGATGGCAGTATGTGTTTGAGCAACACTGGCACTGTGGATAAACCGAGGCCTTTTGTCTCCAGGGTGGTCACTCTGGCACTGACATCTCCATCTTGTCAACCTCCGCACCTTTTACTTTGGCCTCAAGCCCCTGTTTATGTGCTGTTCCCACAATGATTTTTGTATTTCATTGTCCTGGCCCAGGTTGATCCAAATGGCCACCTTCTGCCTCACAGCACTTACCACAGCTGTATGAAGCTAGCTAACTGACAGTGGTCCAATCTAGACTGGCTTGAGGATAGCTGGTATTTATTTTAAACTATTATGCATATGTTTTGGCTGACTGTTCCCTCCCGTGTCTTCTGTCTTTTATATGTTGCTCACTTGCTTGGCCCGCTAACTCCATAGGACAGGGGCTGTGTCTGCCTGTAACTGTAGAGAGTACGCAGCACATTGTGAGTGCTACTGGAATACAAAGAACAAGATGCTCACTCTGTAATAATAATTTCTGTTCAGTAGCTAAACAGGAGACCCTGAATAACTGACTATTTCAGTCAAGAGATAGGAAACCTCAGTGGCAGTCCCAGTTCCTGAGTCAGTTGGAGCCAAACAGGGACATAGTCATTAGGAAACAATTAAATATAAAGCAGATTAAGAAGGAAACAGGTTCCCTGGGGTCTCTTAGCCAGGTTCCCACTTAGCTCCAAGGAAACCTCTTCAATCTCACTCTCTCTTTTCCTTCTCTCATGGGCCACTTTTGATGCTAATGTTCCCAGCTAAGCAGTTCTCAGCACCTCTTTGTGATCAGCAAATTGGGGGAGTATTTACTACTTTCTGTGAGACAACAGTGTGAGCTGGGATATAGCCATGTGTCTCTGAGATCAGTTAGCCTCGGCTTGATGTTCTCACTGCTTTTTGCCTCTGCCGTGTTTGGGGAGCTACTTTTGTGCTAATACCCTTGCCCTCTCCTAGCAACCAAGTATGAGTTAAGATTCCTGTCCTTGCCCACTCCTGCTGCTGATACTTGTTGTCAATATCAGGGAGACACTGGCCTGAGCTATGTAAGTTTCACACATGCCAGAGCATCCTTTCCAATCAATGTTGTTGGCTTGGCACGCAAAGTAACCATAATCTTCAGTCTGAAGGAGAGAATATCATGGCACTCCTGCTGGCACTTTCCTTCAATTGTTGCTAATGCCAGTTAGTGTTGATGTAGTGATGTTGTGGTCATCTCTGGCCATGTTTAGCTCTGGAGACACTGAGTGATTGCCTAGTGGGCTGTATATGTATGCCCAGTGTCAGGAGCACCTGGAGACATCTATATTTTCACAGGTTTAGGATATGTGCCTGATCATTCCTGTTAGTTTGCTTAACTTATTGGCAGGACACATGCTAAAGTGAGCATTGCCTCCTGCTCATTCCCTCACGTGTAACTCAGATCATGGAGGAGATAAGGGATGTCAGCTCAGTCATCATTGCCAGGCTGGAGATTTTTTACCTGATATCTTCCTTCCATCTCTGGATTGTGACATTTCTTCTGGTACCCTCTCCCTGTGGGAAAACACAGCTTGTGCGTAATGTCTCTGTCTTCCTAAGCTTTCTACTCTAGGGGATTTTGAAGAAGTTCATCACAATAGCATCTGGATGTCACTTCATACATGGATGTTGTCTTTCTGCAGGTCCCACCTTCAGCTCTGAAAGTGTCACAAAGCACAAAATTTGTTTCAGGGCTGGCATCGAAGCGTGGTAGTAAATAGCAATCAGGTGTGTGCCATCTTGCCCATTGGTACAGAAATGCTGCATGGCTGATAGGCTTGAATAGGACCGAAATCCCAGGATGCACCACTTTCATATAAATTGTGGCTGCTGAGGCTATGGATGGCATCATGTGAATGGGGAGCCGGAGGAAGGTGAAGATGGAAGGGATCTGCCCTCTAGAAGTCTCTGGATAGATTTACAATCTGTCCATGAGTTAACTTTGTTGGCTTCAGAATTGCTTTGTTAGGGGAAAAAAATGTTCAAGAAGGCTAATTACCTTTGAGAGCAGAATTGGGATGTTCTCCTCAGTCAAGCTGCTGGTTATTGGACTGTCAGTACCTGGGCAATTAGTTAGAAACTGTCACTGTATGAAATGCAAAGCTCTGTTTCTGGAAGCTCTTAAATGAAGGGCATTCATATAAAGGGCATTGGCATTTGGTGCAGTGGCCAGATTTCTGGAACCTCCTGGCTCTGGAAGGAATAGGGAACTATGTGTAAAGATGACTTAAGATTTGCAAATGGT